AATAATTAAATAATGTAGAACTTACCCATACTATTGCCAAAAAGGATTTTGGGGTTAGGTAACCCAGCAACCTTAAACCAAAACGGGCAAGCCTAAGGTAGGGAAAATAAGGCAAATAGATTACTGGGTTTTTATATCAAGAAGTGTAAGAAAACAAAGCCCCAAGGGGCCCATACTGCAGCTTTATACATCTTTATTTAAACCCCCTCACCTAGATTATGCGTTTCATTTCCCTGGTCCCAAAATTACGGGAATTTGGCCAAAATTCGTTGGGAAAACTTCAGGTAGAGGACAAAAATTAATCCCAAGCATTAGAAATCTTCCCTTATGAAAAAGATTAAAGGCCCTTTTAAAAGTTACATTCACTTGTTGGGACGAAAAAAATGAGGGGAGACCTGATCGAAGTTTTTATAAGTGGAAGATAGGGTTTTTAATAAAGGGGAAAATTTAATAAGGTCTTGGGGATGTCTCCCCAAAGAGCCCCCGCAGAAATTTGGATTTAAATTAAAAAATTTTTAGATTTAAAAAGGGGAAAACCGGAAAAAGTATTGGTTTGGAAATAGGTAGTTGATGATTGGAACAGTCTACCTATTTGGGGTTATTGATTCTGGGACTTTGGGTAGTTTTAAAAACAGGTTGGATAAGTACATGAGTGGGGGTGTGGGGAAAAAAGACCTTATTTTCCCAAGTTCAGGACATTTTTTTAAAGGAAACTTTCCCCAGGGAGGGGCTTCTTCAGTCCTAAAAACAGAAAAAAATGGGGGAAAACACACTTATTTATAGGGGGGGGATTCGGGTTAGGGAAGCGTGGGTAAGGTGGTAAAAAGTAGTAGTAGGGTAAGGGAAAAAAAGGGAGGTGGGGTTTTTAGAGAGGGACCTTCTGGCATCAAGAAAACACCAGCCCCAAAAAAAAGGGAAATTTATCCTCTTGTTTTAGAATTTTAAAAATCTGTCCCTCCCGGGTTTTTTGTTTTAAAATAGTGTTACTGACGGAAAATTAGTGCAGCTTAAAAGCTTTTCCCCTCCGTCTTAATTTCTCTTCTTTAAAAAACTATTTTAGCTTCAAAAAAATTTTCATGAGGTGTCCAACACGCCCTCTATTTTAAAACACATGCTTTTTTTTGCGGATCATTTTCCCTGCAACATTTTTTTTGTTCTGCTTTCTAATGTCCAGATTTCGGGGCTTTTTCCCCTACATATCCCTTTGCCCACCCCCCCCACAGGGAAATAGTTTAGATTCCTGCACTTGTCCCCGGAACCCATGTTTTGGGTTTTATGTTTTCATTCCCTTTTTTTTAAAGGTATTAAAGGGGAGCGGGAAATTTTTTTGGGGCCTTTTTTTTTTTCTGCCCAAACTTTTTGGGAAAACATTTTTTGGCAACGTTGTGCCCTTTTTAAAACGATGAAAATTTTGGAGGCTTTTCTTCAATTTGATGGGGTTTTTGTCTTGGGGAACGTGTTGCACGTTTCCTGAAACCCACGGTTTTAAAGTGTAGGGGAAAGTTAGGGGAACAAAAAGATTGGGTGATGTTTTAAACATTTTTCTTCGAGGAACTGCGGACTGGAAATTTCCCCTGTGGGCCTCTCAGAAAGAACCCAATTTAAAACTACCCCTTTTTTAGTTCTTGGGGTCAGGGTGAGAGAAAAAAATGTAGAAGATCATTCTTGTGGGTTAGGTTTTTCCGGTAGATTTTAAAAAAGAAAGTTTTGTTTTCCCCCCCGTGCAAAGAGAAGAGAAGGAGAGAAATAGGAAAGCAAATTTTTTTTTTAAAAGCCCCCCCGGAAGCCTACCTAAAAGAATGATCTTCTACTTTTCTTCTCTCACCATGCCCCAAAAGAACTAAAAGGGGGGTTTTTTTATTGGCTTCTTTCTGAGACCCTTTCAAAATTTTCCCCAGTCCGCGCCCCCCCCGAAGAAGAATGTACATACATCACCAACTTTTTTTCACTACACTTTCCCCTACACTTATACGTTGGGCTGAGGAAAAGTTTTCAAAAAACTATCCTCACAAGACCAACACCTTTTTAAAAATTTAAGAAAAGCCTCCAAGTTACATCGTTTTTACCGGTCAGCAACGTTGCCATAATTTTTCAAAAATGTTTGACAAAAAAGGCTTTAAAAAATCTACCGCCCTTTAACTACTAATTTTGGGAAACCCGAACCCAAAAAACCCCAAGGGAAGATTCCGGAAAAAGTGCAGGGAAACTAAAACTAAAACCATTTGGGGGGGGGGTTTTACAAAGTTTATGTAGGGGAAAAAAGCCAAACTCTTTGGAAAAATTTTAAAAAGCAGAACACAAAAAAAGCTTGCAGAAAAAGATTTACCCCAAAAAAAGCATGTGTTCAACATAGAGACGATGTTGGCACCTCATGAAATTCAATGAACTAAACTAGTTTATTAAAAAAGCGAACCCTTTAAAACCGGGGGAAAAAAATGCATTGAACTTTCCCAAAAATTTCTTTTCAGTAACACTATAAAGCAAAAATCCCCCGGAAATTACAGTAATTTTTAAAATTACTAAGCAAAGGGTATTACCCCTCCTTGGGGGAATGGTGGGTTTCTTGATGCCAGGAGGATCCCCCTCTAACCCACCCCTTAGTTCCTTAAATACTACAAAATACTAAACCCCCACTACCCACCCCTTCACATCACCTGACTCCCACCCCTAAATATATTGGTTTCTTAGTTTTTCCCCTGTATTAGGGTGAAGAACCACTCGGGCCCCCCCCCCCCCCCCCCCCCCCCCCTTCCCCCCCCCCCCCCCCCCCCACCCCCCCCCCCCCCCCCCCGGGGGAAAAGGGGGTTTTTTAAAATTTTGAAAGGTTTTTTTTCTTTCCCAACCCCCTTTTTTTAAAGAGGGGTTTTAATTTTCTTGGGTGGCATTGAAAATTGGGTTGGGGCAAATGTTTTTGTGGGGATGAATTGGGAAAAGGGCCTGCCTAGTATGGGGGCCCAAAAGGCCTCTCCCGTGTTCCTCCCCTTTTTTAAATTTTTTAAGTTTTGTTAAAAAGGTATGATAAAGGGGATGGAGCGGGGGGGAGAGTAGACCTATGGCGGCCAGAGAAGAGGCGGGGGCAGGAGCTAGACTCGAACCCCTGCAAAAAACAAAAAATTTGAGTACACAAAACACACACACACACACACACAACACACACACCCAAAACACACACACACACACAACACACCCACACACACAGCATAAGACAAGAAAAGAGAGGGGGTTTGGGGGGATTTCAAATTTTTTTTTGGGCTGCAAGAAGGCGTTTTGAACGTTCCACAAAAAGATTGGGGAAAAAAAAGGGGGACCAAGCAGGGATTTAAAAAGGGGAAAGGGACTACAATGGATCAGGGAAAACTTGTCAGGAAGACAGCAGGGGGTCATGGTACTGGGGGAGGGGTAAGATTTGGGCCCCGTGACCAGCGGGGGGCCCCCCAGGGGTCAGGGCCCAGGCCAGTGCGTTTTTGGGGAATTTTTTGGGAAAGACATTACGGAAAGGGAAAAGACTCTGAGGTGTCCCCGTTTTCAGATGGAAAGTGGGAAATTTATGAGAAGAATTCACTCGATCGAAGACCAGGCGAGAACTACAAAGGGAAACTGGGCAGGTGCAGATCTGGTCCGCAATTGGCTCCGGAGTTCAAAACCCCCCTAAGGCAAAAATCATTAAATTGGGGAAAAGGGGGAAAAAGGCCGCAGGGCGGGGTACAGTCAAAAGGGGGGAAGAAATACAAAAACCCCCTAAGGAAAAAATCTTGGGGTTAATATAACCAGGCACATCTCCCCGAAGCCACATCAACCAAAAAAACTGCTGCAGCATATGGGGGGCCCAAACAAACCCCAAACGCATTCCGACATCTTAAAAAGGAATTTATTCAGGACCCCCGTTACACCGTGTACGTTAGGCCCACATTGGGGTTTTGGGGCCCAGTTTGGAACCCACACCCCAGCCAAGCACGTTAAAAAAAGAAACTAAAAAAGTTCAAAGGGTTTTTAACAAGACTAGTTTCCCGAGCTAAGAGGGTTTTCTACGAGAGAGGGGTTAAAGGGAAATTTACCCCGCCGACACTGGTGGGCAGGAAAGATAGGGGGGGCATGTAACGACATACAAAATAAATGAAGGGAAATTTACAAGGTGGACAAAGACAGGAGTTCCCGAAAATTGGGGCACAGTAAACCCAAGGGAACAGTTTTTGGGGAACTGAAGACCCCCGATGAATCACGGGATGTTAGGGGGTAATTTTTTTCAACCACAGAGTAGTCAGTAAGTTGAAAAATTTGGGAAGAGATGTAGTGGAGGCAGGATCCATACATAGCTTTAAGCAGAGGTATGATAAAGCTCACGGCTCAGGGAGAGTGACCCTAGTAGCGATCAGTGAAGAGGCGGGGCCAGGAGCTCGGACTCGACCCCCGCAACCTCACTAGGTGAGTACAACTAGGTGAGTACACACAACACACACACACACAACACTCCCACAACACACACACACGCACACAACACGCACACACACACACACACACACACACACACACAACCACACACACACACACACACACCCCAACAACACACACACACCACCACACACACACACCACACACAATCTAGTAGCGATCAGTGAAGAGGCGGGGCCAGGAGCTCGGACTCGACCCCCGCAACCTCAACTAGGTGAGTACAACTAGGTGAGTACACACACACACACACACACACACACACACACACATCACATCACATTCGCCTCAGACATCTCGGTATGTGACATCCCCCGGGGAATATAGCATCTGCTACATTAATCAGAGAACGGGTGGAAGGAGAGGATTTGAACCGGAGTCCTGTCACTTGTTGGCAATCGCGTATCGCGACTTCCTCGATCTACGGCACTAAATTTTCCTCGCGGAACACTCGCGGTGGCGATTCCGCAGGGATTCCGGTAGCGTAGGTTGGAAACCCTGGGTCTCTAACACCGTGTAAACCATGGGGCTGGCACACTGGAGGCTTCACTAACACTGGTACGCGAGTCGGGGTTTCACTTCTATCTGTTCTGTCTTCCGCTGCTGACAAATAAAGTACCGCCCGCACCCAGTGTGCCACCCGGGCACACCAGGTGTTACTTTTACACCACGTGTTGATGCACCACAGAAAATGAGGAGCGGGTCCTCCTCTCACTAGCTGAGTCAAGGTAGCACTGAGCTGGCTACCACCATCGCTACGCTACCTGCATCACTACCAGCTACCACTATCGCTACGCTACCTGCATCACTACCAGCTACCACTATCGCTACGCTGCCTGCACCCACTACCAGCTACCACCTCGCTCGCTACCTGCATCATTCCAGTACCACTATCGCTACGCTACCTGCATCACTACCAGTTTCCACTATCGCTACGCTACCTGCATCACTACCAGCTACCACTATCGCTACGCTACCTGCATCATACCAGTACCACCATCGCTACGCTACCTGCATCACTACCAGCTACCACTATCGCTACGCTACCTGCATCACTACCAGCTACCACCATCGCTACGCTACCTGCATCACTACCAGCTACCACTATCGCTACGCTGCCTGCATCACTACCAGCTCCCCACATCGCTACGCTACCTGCATCACTACCAGCTACCACTATCGCTACGCTACCTGCATCACTACCAGCTACCACTATCGCTACGCTACCTGCATCACTACCAGCTACCACTATCGCTACGCTGCCTGCATCACTACCAGCTACCACCACGCTACGCTACCTGCATCACTACCAGTACCACTATCGCTACGCTACCTGCATCACTACCAGCTACCACTATCGCTACGCTACCTGCTTTCACTACCAGCTACCACCATCGCTACGCTACCTGCATCACTACCAGCTACCACTATCGCTACGCTACCTGCATCACTACCAGCTACCACCAGTGCTACGCTACCTGCATCACTACCAGCTACCACCATCGCTACGCTACCTGCATCACTACCAGCTACCCATCGCTACGCTACCTGCATCACTACCAGTAACACTTATCGCTACGCTACCTGCATCACTACCAGCTACCACCATCGCTACGCTACCTTTGTCATCACTCCGCTACCACCATCGCTACGCACCTGCATCACTACCAGCACACCATCGCTACGCTACCTGCATCATTTACCACCTACCACTATCGCTACGCTACCTGCATCACTACCAGCTACCACCATCGCTACGCTACCTGCATCATACCAGTACCACCATCGCTACGCAAACCTGCATCACTACCACTACCACCATCGCTACGCTCCCTGTAAAACACTAACCAGCTCCCGCAATCACTACCAGCTACCACCATCGCTACGCTACCTGCATCACTTACCAGCTAGCACTATCCTACGCTACCTGCATCACTACCAGCTACCCCCATCGCTACGCTACCTGCATCACTACAGCTACCACTCTCGCAAACGCTACCTGCATCACTACCAGCTACCACCATCGCTACGCTCCCTTTGCATCACTCCCAGCTACCACTATCGCTACGCTACTTGCATCACTACCAGCTACCACTATCGCTACGCTACCTGCATCATACCAGCTACCACCATCGCTACGCTACCTGCATCACAAACCAGCTACCACCATCGCTACGTTTACCTGCATCACTACCAGCTACCACTATCGCTACGCTACCTGCATCACTACCAGTTTACCCCATCGCTACGCTACCTGCATCACTACCAGCTCCACCATCGCTACGCTACCTGCATCATCCCAGCTCCCACTATCGTTTACGCTACCTGCATCACTACCAGCTACCCCCATCGCTACGCTCCCTGCATCACTACCAGCACCACCATCGCTACGCTACCTGCATCACTACCGCTACCACTACCCGCTACGCTACCTTGCATCACTACCAGCTACCACATCGCTACGCTACCTGCATCACTACCAGCTACCACCATCGCTACGCTACCTGCATCCCCTACCAGCTACCACCATCGCTACGCTACCTGCACACTACCAGCTACCACTTATCGCTACGCTACCTGCATCACAAACCAGCTACCCCCATCGCTACGCTACCTGCATCACTACCAGCTACCACCATCGCTACGCTACCTGCATCACTACCAGCTACCACTATCGCTACGCTACCTGCATCACTACCAGCTACCACCATCGCTACGCTACCTGCATCACTACCAGCTACCACCATCGCTACGCTACCTGCATCACTACCAGCTACCACCATCGCTACGCTACCTGCAACACTACCAGCTACCTGCATCACTACCAGCTACCACCATCGCTACGCTACCTGCATCACTACCAGCTACCACCATCGCTACGCTACCTGCATCACTACCAGCTCCCACCATCGCTCCCTCCCTGCATCACTCCCAGCTACCACCTCGCTACGCTCCCTGAATCACTACCAGCTACCCCCATCGCTACGCTACCTGCATCATCCCAGCTCCCACCATCGCTACTACCTGCATCACTACCAGCCACCACCATCGCTACGCTACCTGCATCACTACCATCTATCTGCATCACTACCAGCTACCACCATCGCTACGCTACCTGCATCACTACCAGCTACCACCATCGCTACGCTACCTGTAACACTACCAGCTACCTGCATCACTACCAGCTACCACCATCGCTACGCTACCTGCATCACTACCAGCTAGCCACTATCGCACGCTACCTGCATAAATACCAGCTACCACCATCGCTACGCTACCTGCATCACTACAGCTACCACTATCGCTACGCTACCTCCCATCACTACCAGCTACCACCATCGCTACGCTACCTGCATCACAAACAGCTACCACTATCGCTACGCTATGCATCACTACCAGCTACCACATCGCTACGCTACCTGCATCACTACCAGCTACCACCATCGCTACGCTACCTGCATCACTACCAGCTACCACCATCGCTACGCTACCTGCATCACTACCAGCTACCACCATCGCTACGCTACCTGCATCACTACCAGCTACCACTATCGCTACGCTACCTGCATCACTCCAGCTCCCACCATCGCTACCTACCTGCTCCTACCAGCTACCACCATCGCTACGCTACCTGCATCACTACCAGCTACCACCATCGCTACGCTACCTGCATCACTACCAGCTACCACTATCGCTACGCTACCTGCATCACTACCAGCTACCACCATCGCTACGCTACCTGCATCACTACCAGCTACCACCATCGCTACGCTACCTGCATCACTACAGCTACCACTATCGCTACGCAAACCTGCATCACTACCAGCTACCCACCATCGCTACGCTACCTGCATCACTACCATACCACCATCGTTTACGCTACCTGCATCACTACAGCTCCACTATCGCTACGCTCCTGCATCACTACCAGCTACCAAAATCGCACGCTACCTGCATCACTACCAGCTACCACCATCGTTTACGCTACCTGCATCACTCCCAAACTACACTATCGTACGTTTACCTGCATCACTACCAGCTCCCACCATCGCTACGCTACCTGCATCACTACCAAAGTACCACCATCGCTACGCTACCTGCATCACTCCCAGTTTCCCCCACGCTACGCTCCTGCAACACTACCAGCTACCTGCATCATACCAGCTACCACCATCGCTGCTACCTGAAATCACTCCCATCTACCACCATCGCTACGCTCCCTGCATCACACAGCTACCACCATCGCTACGATTACTTGGCATCATACCAGCTACCACATCGCTACACTACTGCATAAACTACAGCTACCACAATCGCTACGTCCCTTTGCATCACTACCATCTATCTGCATCACCAGTTTACCACCATCGCAAACTCTCCCCTGCATCACTACCAGCTACCACCATCGCTACGCTACCTGCATCACTACCGCTCCCTGCATAAGTACCAGTACCACATCGCCTCGCTACCCTGCATCATTTCCAGCTGCCTGCAACATACCAGCTGCCTGCAACACTACCCTTCCCCCACCCTCGTTACGCTACCTGAACACTACCAGCTACCCCATCGTTACGCTACCTGAAAACACTACCAGTTCCACCTCAGTGTGAGAGTGGAGAGTTTGAGGGTGTGAGAGATTTGTGAGAGATGTGAGTGTGAGGAGTGTGAGAGGTGTTGCGAGAGTGTGAGGAGTGTGAGAGAGTGTGAGAGAGTGTGGAGTGTGGAGAGTGAGAGAGTGCGGAAGGCTTGTCAACACAGACATGTCTCCCTTTAGGCAGCTTGACCATTAAAGAAAGATAACTCTCTCTCTCTCTCTCTCTCTCCCCCCCCTTCTCTCCCCCTCTTCTCTCTCTCTCTCTCTCTCTCTCTCTACTCTCTCTCTCTCCCCTCTCTTCTCTCTCTCTCTCCTTTCTCTCTCTCCTCCTCTCTCTCTCTGTCGCAAATTAATTTCCTGTCAATACACCTGTGAGCATACCTGTCAACACACCTGTCATTATACCTGTCAACACACCTGTCAATATTCCTGTCAACACACCTGTCAATACATCTGTCAACACACGTGTCACTGTACCTGTCAACACACTTGTCAATACATCTGTCAACACACCAGTCAATATATCTTTCTACACACCTGTCAGTACACCTGTCAGCACACCTGTCAGCACACCTGTCAACACACCTGTCAACACAGCTGCCAATACATCTGTCAACACGCCTGTCTCTACATCTGTCAATACATTGTCAACGCGCCTGTCAACACACCTGTCAATACATCTGTCAACACACCTGTCAAAACATCTATCAACACATCTGCCAACACACCTGTCAATACATCTGTAAACACGTGTCAATACACCTGTCGACACACCTGTCAATACATCTGTAAACACATCTGTCAATACACCTGTCAACACGCCTGTCAACACACCTGTCAATACATCTGTCAACACATCTGCCAACACACCTGTCAATACATATGTCAACACACCTGTCAATACATCTGTAAACACGTGTCAATACACCTGTCAACACACCTGTCAATACATCTGTAAACACATTTGTCAATACACCTGTCAACACGCCTGTCAACACACCTGTCAATACATCTGCCAACACACCTGTCAATGCATCTGTCAACACATGTGTCAATACACCTGCCAACGCACCTGTCAA